CCGTGTGACGAGCTGGAGATGAACTGAGATTTTTGGATTCCAGAGAACGGAAGTGTTCTGGATAGACCAAGTGGAAAAGGTCTCATTTGTCCCATTGTCTGTAGAACTCCTGCTTCCTTCATTTTAGAAGTTGGAAGAAGTGTAGTGAATGAGGCAGGGAGGAAGAGAAATGATGGTATCATGGTTAAGGCAGTTGAATGCTGCCCTGGAGAACTGCAATCTCTTGCCTCTGCCAGAGTTCCTAAGTGACATTAAGCCAATGTCCTAGGTCCAACTCTTGTCCCCTTTGCATTTGAATCAGACAGCTTCCTCCTCTATGTTGCTTGGATGATAGCAGTGGGGGGCGAGGGGCAGGATGGTCACTGAGGAGACAGACTTTCTGCTCTCAATTCTGGTGCCCAGCCTCACCCCAGCCCAGTGCAGCTGGGAGAAGCCATTGCAGGGAAAATCCTGCATTGTCCCTTTTGCTCTGGGCTGGAGGGAGCAGGCTTATTTATTCTGTGGGGATGGTTGATGCACATGCCTGTTACACATAGGAGCTGTAAGGGGACGGAGCATGCTCAGTCACTCTGTGGAGATGGTACATTCACAGTCTGGTCAACACTAGGAGCTATGAGAGGCTCAAACTTGCTCAGTGGGGACAGAATGTTCAGAGATTTAACCTTAGATTCAGGGGAAAGGTGAGCATGCAGCAGCTCCGCTAATCCCCCGTTTTTAGATACTGCATCTGTGTCTCATTGGTTCCCTTTCTCTAGTGCAAGAGGAAGGAGGAGCAGGCCCTTATTTTTACTTCTGACGTTGAATCAGAATTTTAACCTGAGACTTCAGACTAAAAAGAGGAACTCAAGTAATTCATGATGCTACTTAGACCCCAGAATAATCTTCCTGAACTTGTGAATTAATCATCCATTTCCTAAATTCCTTTGATCATTAATAGCTGGTAATTGCAAAGAATGATATACGTTTCTTATGGTTTTCTTCCATAGTGTCCATCACTGTTGTATCTCTCTGTTTCCAAAGCAAATTACATCTGAATAGGAACTTCATGGAATCTCCTGCTCTTCTCACTTGGCTGGTTTTAGGAAGTTCTGGTTATGGTAAATTTATCTATAAATGTCAGACTTTGTGATTATGCAGGAAAGCTTTCTCAAAAAGGAGTGTATTACAGCATGACCTTTAGATGGTCAGACCTTTGCTAGTGTAATCTGCTGTGGAAGCTTGTTGCATAACTGAATCCCCTCAGCCAAGAACTGTTCCCTTCCTGCTTTGATACACTTCATCCTGGGCTTGACGAACTGCATTGTCCCAGAGAAACACAGCTTTCTAGGTTGGCTATGAATGGAGATGTAGTCATTGATGCAGTTGGACCCATCAGTGCCTTTCAGGGCCAAAATCTTATACTGGCAATGGAAGTGGACTTGGGAATCAATGGAGTGGCTAGACCACAGGGATGATACGTACACAGTGGTCCAACCAGTGAGGGGGCTGGCTTTTGCATTCTGCCCATGCTGGCGCACTTTGCATGTGTCATGATTTGGAATATCTATCTATAAACAACTTGTGAATTCTGGTTGATGTTATGTAATTGCTGTATCATAGAATGCCTCAGTGAATGTGGAGTCAGCCATCTGCCCTCAGAGCTGTAGCATGTCCCTTCCAGACCAGGAACAATGCAGGGTCATTCAACCTGTATGGATCCCATTCAGGTAGAAGCATCTTGGGACATTGGGGTGGCAGAAGACTGGGGAAACGAGTTCAGCCAAATATGTCTGAAGGGATTGGGGGTTGGAGCAGTGCAATTTCCCCAGAAGGAGAACAGAGGAACGAGGTGTTTAGTTGTCAAGGGACTCATCAAGACATAGAAGAAGCTTTGGGCAGGAGAGGGGAAAAGGACAGGCTTTCATAGCAGGAAGGATCCTGTTAACTGTAGGGCAAAACAAAGTAAAAGGAAACTGATCTATAGTGGAGAGAAACTCCATAATTCAGAGAAAAAGCCACGGTGTGCAGGAGGAGGATCCTGGACAACCCAAAGCACTCTGTCCTAAACCCAGAGAATGTTCCAGAATGGTGAGGAAAGTGAGGCAGGGAAATATATGCATGGATGTGTTTATGTTTTGTCTGCATCTATGTATCTTCTGTGCTATTATAATTATATATGTAACTATATCAAGAAACTCTTGAAAAGCCTAACTGTGTCTTTCAGCTTCACCTATCACATGCCCGTAAAATAATTAAACTATACACCCAGAGTGCCCACAAGGTGGAACTCTGGGAAAGGGTGCTAGGGAATGAGGGAGGTCAGAGCTGGTCATGGGGCCTAGGGCTGCTAGATAACAGACAGAGCCTGTGCCCAGAAACTGTGCTAGAGAGGCCAAGGAAAGAAACAGCACTGCAACCTACTCTGGAAAAGGGAAGCTTAAGAATACAGAGGCTCAGACTCAGCTGGCTGGTGAGTGTCCAGCCGATGGAGCTCTGCCAGGGCTGAATGACAGCGTGGCATCCACCTTTAACCCCCCATACACACGTTATAGTAGTTCAGTCTGGGGGGGTTGAACATGTGGATCACTCTAGCTGGGGGAGAGGAGACGTTTCCTAGCAAGTGGAAGGTGAAAGAAGGAGAGCCACATGTTGTGATCATATTAGGTTGTTGTTTTGTGTAACAATGAAACCTATATATTTTAAATCCTTATGGTGGGGGTGATGCATGTGAGGAGAAACAACTGTATGTGCTATTGCTTCTTTCATTCTACTCGCCAGGACTCTGCTGAAACAAGATGATAACATCTTAATAGGGAATTTCCTGCTTAACTATTTCATAAATAAAGAGCAAAGCAACACATGCCAGAAAGCAGCAAAGCTTAGCCAGCCCCGAGCTAGGGAAATACGCCTTAGCAACGGGCCATAAACCAAACACAGAAGCAGCAACACTGATTGCTAGAGAGAGACAAAAGTTTGAGTATGTAACACTTCACATACATGTGTGATAGTAAACCCTCAGAATGGCAAATATATTCTCCACCACTGCCACACTGAATGCTGAGCTCAGAAAAGTACATAAGGGTTTCCAAGGAAGGGGGACACTACTGGTTACTAGAATAAAAATAAAAGGCGATTACTGTTCCAGAAGAAACAATTAAGTAGGTCCCTATCATCCCAATGTCAGGGTTCAGACTAGGCCAGTACACCAGCTCCACTTTCATGCTGTATTCTTGTTCTCCGAAGTTGAAGCTGTAACTGAAGTATCCCTTTAGCTGTTATGATTGCTGAGATATATTACATTCATGTTTTTGAAGCTGATCAATGGTGTGACCTCCGCCTGTGTTTGTAGAATCTAAAACGGGTCTGAGAGGTATAAGTTGCTCCATTAATCTCAGATGCCAATGGTAATTCTTTAAATGTTAACTCTTAACTATTTCACTGCTCCGAGCTTGTAAGAAAGGAGAGGAAATATCACAAACTGAAGAACTGCGAGTGTGTCCACTGTGAGTGACAGTTCACTTTTGCACCACTAGGCTGTAGGCTACAGAGAGTACTGCAGCTTTTTTCCACCCCCAATGAAAAGGATCCGGACAGAAGCCACTGGAGCATCTGAGCCCTGTCCAGGGTGAGCCAAACTCAAGAAGCCCAGTGGGCCATGCAAATCTCACTGAGTGGCAGCCAAGCCCAAGGAGCCCATGTGATATTTCAACGACCTGCACAAACTAGTGCGAGCAATGTCTTGTGGGTAGGACTTATTTTATAGCTGGAGCTTGGAAGAAAACCATTATCTTTCTTTCCCTCTCAATTTGATCTCTGCCCAAAACATAGTTTAAAAAAGAATACTGAAGGAAAAGAAAAAAAAGAAAAAGTAGAATCTGGACAGGCAAATGTATTAATATCCACCAGTAAAACACAAGCCTTTGATGAAAGGGAAGAATTTTCTGACCACTAATTTGTTTCTGTGCTTTACAGTCCACCAGTGCAGTATCAATGGTTTGCTTCTCCTTATGCCAGTTAGTGAGGAGAGCAGCCAGTAAGAAGTTCTCATTTTCTCACTATTAATAGGAGAATGGATAGTCTTGTGGTAAGGCACTGAACTGGGATTTAAGAAATCTGAGTTGAATTCTTGGTTCTCCCAGCACTGTGTGACCCCAGACAGGTTACTTAGGTCCCAGTTCAGCAAAGCACTTCAACATGTAGTTAACTTTAATTACTCCCTGGGGACTTAAGCACGTGCTTGTGTTTTAATGAATCAGGACCTTACTTTGTCTATGCCTCAGCGATAATAAAATTTGCTTTCTCCCATCTTTTGTCTGTCTTGTCTATCTAGATTGTAAGCCCTTTGAGACAGAATCTCTCATACTACATATTTGTTCAGTGCTCAACACAAGACTTTGATCTCAGTTGTGCTATTATTCAATCTCGTAACATTTCATAACTTAACTAAAATAATTGTGATACTAAGAATGTGATACCATTGTGATACCATTTCTTAACCATGGTAAGATAAGCTGTTTGTTGATTTGGGGCAAAATAGCTTACAATATTTTACTTTAATTCCACCAGAAAAGAGTAATTACATGGAACTTTGAGATAATGTATTAAAGATGCTTACTAGTTACAAGAGAGTAAAATTCCTTTCTCCAGCGCAATTACAATGTAGCTAATTAATGCTTCTTACTATGAGATGCAATTAATGAATTATGTGGAGTAGTTGCTACTACTATCAGACTATGAGCATCCTTTTACAAACTGCATTCAGCTAATGGAACAACTCTTCTAGAGCAATAAATATGTTGTACTTAACCCAGACTTCCTCACCAGGAGCGCATACACACTGAAGTTAATAAATTAATGCTGCTTTCATGTAATTAGTCAATCAGAAATACTGTAACTTTTTTTGTCACAGTACTAGTGAAATAATTAGTGAAGCACCTGTGTAGCCACATAATATGAGGAAAAGCAGCGTGAGCATTAATACACTTGTCATAAAAACACTTATACCTCCTAGACGTATTTACCTTCTCCGGCTGCAAAGATGGAAAAATATTCTTAAAATGCATATATAGATAGAATAAGATGTTCGCTGTTTTCCTTTTCCTCAGAGGACCTTAATTGTAGATCACAGGGCCAGTGCACACAGAGAATATCTTCTAAGCACTTTCTGCAGTATTCTTGTTTTGATATCAGGATGCAATACATGTTGCATGTTCTTCTTTTCATGTCCTGTTTGTTTCTAGCTCACAAAAGAACCTATGGGGAAAACCACACTTATCTTTGCCCTGCTGGGTGTAGGCTGGCTTGCAGTGTGAGATAGTGTGATCTGTGAAAACAAAGAAACTGCATTTCTGTAATTCATCTAAGCTTTTGCTGCCAGATAAAAAAAACTCAGCAGATTAAAGATAATCAGTTTCTTTCACAAAACGACTCCCTTTTAAATTCTGAGTGGAAAAATCATGTATGCAGTAAAAATGAACATTTCAAGGTTGTTTTTTCTTTTTGCTTCAGACAAAAGGTATCTGCTGTATGAAGTAATTGTTCCAGTCTGTGAAATTAGCTTTACGTATACATGATGGATAGAAGTGACATAACTTTACAGAGTTAATAAAATACAAACCGGAGATAAAGTGATTCCCGGGTTTTTTTTCCTGGATAGCTGTTAAAGCAATTGCTGGCAGAACATTACACCTCCGTGTAAGTCCCAGGACATTTTGCAATAAATAATTTTTATAAAAAAATCCAGACTGTGAATTTTGCATACAATTTTTAAACCATCTGTGCATTATCAGCCTATCTAACACTGAGAACTTACTTATCTGTGCACTTTACACATATGATCTGATGTCACTGGGCATAAGAAGGGAACATAAAAAAAACCTTAATAATCAAAATCCAAAGTCTAAATAAGAGCATTTTTATGGGTATAAAATTTATTTCATTAAGTGTTTAGAAGTACTTCAACATATAAGTGCCCTATCTTTTATATTGTAAATGTGGGAAGGGGTTATTTGAAGTCCTAAGAATATGTATTTATAAAGATACAAATGTTTTCTAACAAAGAAACATGATGTAAGCTGGACTTAGGCACTTTGTACATTAAACCTCAAGAGGGGGAAAATGAACTATACTTCAATTTCTTATGAAGTTAGCTCCTGCAGTGTATGTAGTCAGGTATCGATCCAAGGTGTGGATTTATTCAGTGTAAGTCATTTGAATTGTGTAGATTCATTTGGTTTGTTAAATGCTTTTATCCTTGTAAATGAATAAAAGTCTAACAATTCTATCTCCAAACTGACATGCATTTCTTTGGTTGTATGTTACCTCTATGGAGATCTTTAGTAACATGTTACACTGATATTATAGCTAAACTCCCAGATCTTATTGCAAATCTAGGGGAAATGGCCTTTCTCATGATATATAGCACAACTCACATTAATAGTGGAGAAGGAGTCCAAATGTGATCTTTCACTCAGTGTGAAGGGGCCGAAGTGAATGATTATGTGGAAATGGAGCAAAATCATGAACTAAAAACACAGATTGCTAAATACTCTCAACTGTGATTATTCTTAACAACTCATTTTCTCCTTTCTAATCAGCCATCATACCATATGTATTTTAATGTTATTTCCTCCCTTAAAATATTCAGTTGGAAGGGATATGCTTCTGCTATATTTATGTCTGGAGCATTCTTGGGCTAGAAGGGAATGATTTTGCAACCCGCCTGCTGCTTTAATACGGAAGACATGGCTCATTATTTTCAAGTGCATCGTTAGAACTTTTAGAGGAGCTTTTTTGGCATTTGACTGACAAATTAGCTTTTTTTAGCCTTCTCAGCTGATATGACATGACGGGTTGTAGATTCCCAACCATACTATTAACCCTCTCTCTCTAGAAATTGAGCAATTCATTATCTACACAAGCATCTTTCATGAAGAGTTGAAGTTCATGTCTATTAGAGTTGCAGCTGTGTTAAATAGCAGAGTTCATCCCTATAACAACCATAACATGGGCTCCTATCAAGTGAAATAGACTAGCTGGGCATCAACAGCAAACAGTTCTGGGGGATTTTTCTCCTCATCCTGTTATAGTCCTGGCTGTTTTCATAACTCACCCTTGATAAGCAGTAACGAATCTGTCAAGGTGCTGACAGGGATAATCCAGACAAGCATTGCTCCCTAACTGAAGTGGAAGAGATTTTTGGTTTGTTTACTTGTTGGACGTAGCCTAATATCTCTCTCCTTATTTATACAACAGATTTGCTATTTCCCCGCTACCCATCCAAATTAATGATGTCATGATGTTATCTCAAAAGATATCGATTTAAAATAGAGAGGGAGGGATCATGGCTTATCTAGAGCCTGATTGTGCAATTGCCATTACTTAATGCCAGACTGTACTATTTTGTGGCTAGGCCTGCAGTGGGGGCAATAGAGAACTACCTCTCCCAGTGGGAGCTCTGGGAGGCATTGTAGCTCAAGTAGGCATCCTATCTCCTGAACAGAGGCAACACGGAATTCTTGGGGGGACGGTACAATTTAAAGTTTCTGGTGAGGCACATGACTGTCCCACACAGTTGCCTCTGCCCCCTTTCCCACTTCCTTGTGCCTCTCACACCTGCCCCAAGCCTGCATCACCTTGCCCCCACTCTCCTCACAGATCCTTCTCCACTTCTCCCATCGCCTCCCTGCTGCAGGCACAGCATGGGCCGGAGTGGTCTCTGGACACCTACTGCCAAGCATCGGTAATTGCAGGTGAGGAAGGGACGGAACTCGGAGGGCTTCCCCATGCTGCCTCTGGCAGAGCTGCGCTGCCAGCCCAGTCCCTCTTCCCTGCTCTGGGAGCCTCCTAGCAGGGCTCAGTAGGAGTGCTAGGTGCTGGTGCCTTTCTCAGGCATGTCCCTGTCATCCACGTTCAGCCCAACTCCCATCCTGGCAGAAATCTGTGGGAGGCATGTGAACCTGCATGCCTTTCCCCCCTCCCCCACCCACACATCCAGAAATTCCCTAGAGCACAGAGGAGCATGTCTGTTGCACCCTTTCTTAAAAGGGTACAGCATGCACTCACCTCTTTAGTGGGCCAGCTCTGCTGACTGGTGTGGAGAGGGAGCTGAGGCCATTACTCTATCGTCTCCAATTGCCTTTGGGGCGGCTTGCATCCCCAGGGCAGTAACAGGCAGCTGTGCAGTGACTGCAATTGTGCCTCAGCCCACCACAGGGGATGCAATGGGACACTCCTTGCCTCCTCCTCCTTTACACATCAGCACCACGGCCAGGTATAATTTGGCCTTTAGATTAGAAACTGCATTTTTTTAAATAAATAGTTCATGGGAATAGCATATCATGCAAATACAGTAGGCAAACAAAAATCTTTCTATCTCTAGAAATAATACCATTTCTAGTGGTATTTTACATTTTAATTATAGGGACTATTTCCAAATTCTTAACTATCTCTAAAACAGGAATGGACTTGAAGTGTGTCCACAATATACATCTCCTATTTCTTGTCAGTTTCTCCAGATTCTCTGAGCTCTGAGAAACTGTGCTTTGCATTGCAGATTTTCATAGGTTCTCTACAAAATCTCTCAATCTTCCAGTCCCTCTCCTGCCCTTCTCTACTACCATCTTCATTGCTCATCAAAATGTGCTAAATATCATGAGATGCAGCAGTAGTAAATATTGAAGCAATAGTCCCCATAATTGCAGGCTCCTTTGATGAGATAATGAACCACAATGATAGTTGCATACAGATCAAAGGCGCAAAAAAAATGACGGTATCCACTCTCTATCACAAGAACTAATATTGTAAGAAGAGAATATTGTACTCTATTTTTAAGGGTTAAACATGATTCTAAAATATTTTGGGTATATTATCTTGGCAACCTAAAGGATGGCATCATGATGGAAAAATTTGATGTAATGAGAAGGGGACTATTTTGCCAATTGACTCCTGCCAGATGAAGTTTGCTAGGAATGGAAGCTAATTGGCAAGGCTGGTGTAAAATGGGATTTGGCACTTCCTCAGTCACTAATTACTGCTGCCTCATCGATAAACCCATCTCAGCAATCTACCCTCATACACTTAATTTCTTGCTCAAGAGTAGTAGTTTCCCCTATTCTGCAACAGGCACCTCAAGCTCCCCAAAAGAGGAAAGGATTGTGGAAGGTGCTTTTTCATGAGTGCTGACATAATTTAACACTACCAAATAAATATATCTGGACTACATGGAGATTTCACCTTCGTCTCATCATCCAATGTATTATGTGTCTGATCTGCCTGCCTAATCCTTGTGAACTTTTAATACCAAGTGCTCTATGATAATACAAATAATAACAACAACAAGCTTACTATCATAATATGTGGCGTTCCGGGTTATCACTTACATAGTCTGCTCTAGACCACTTTTTCTTGCCTTGTTGCTTCTATTGCTTTATTTTCCAGCTTTGTTTAGTAAGCGTTAGAGATACTGAAATGCAAAGGGTCAGAGCAATCTTCTTTATAACCTTTTATTCATTTCTAGTCCAGAATAATTGCATCAATTAGTATCCATTTACTTTATCTGCTCCTCTGCAGTGTGCTAAAAATATATTAAAATACAAAGTAATTTCTTAATGGCTTTAAGCTTGACTTCAGTGAATATGGCATTTCAAATATCTCATTTTGATCATGTGAACTTTGTTTTAACAAAGATTGTGTATGACTAAATAACCCCTTTTGGTTCCTGAGCTTGACATAAATCAGCTATTATAAATTCCAGGTTTAGTTTTAATAGGTATTTTCATATTTTGCAAATAGCACAGTAAAAGCAGTTCAGATACCTAGTAGACTTCATTCCATTTCATCACCTTACAAATGCCAACACTATATATGGATATTCCATAAGCTGCTACCACCAAGACCTTATAACTGATGGCTTGTAAACACAAATTGTGCATATTCTGCTTTCAGAAGTCACATGGAATTTTTTAATCTCCATCCAGGTACGATTTGTTGTAAATAGTTCTGGTATGTTGCTAAAAGACACATTTCAAAATGAGATTTGACAAAAAGAGAATTAATATTAAAATTCTTAAATGAAGATGTACACGATAGGTGAAAAGCACTTTGAGATCCTCAAATGCAAGTCATTGTATAAATGCAAAGTATAAAATGTGTATATGATATGGATCAATACTGTTATTTACTTGAGGGAAGGTTGGGAGAAAAGTCTTTTTTTATATAAATAAAAATAGCTTTGCGGTTTTTATTATTCTTTAAGGACCAGATTCTGGTACCCTTATTCCTGCTG